GAGAAAGAATAAGCAATAGGATCACAGAGTGCTTGTTAGAAACGAGAAGCCAGGGAGAAATGACATCTGCTGTGTTTTTCTATAGCACAGCAGACTTTAAAGGGATACCTTCATCACTAACACCACTAATAGACTCTCCGATGCTCAAGGCTACACTATAGAGCTCTCAGAGTTCATTAACGGATGGTTCCCTCAATCCATACACTTTCTATAATGCAGCCAACATGCGCCAGCTTTGTCAGTTTCTCCGTCGCTCTTCAAAGTGTTTTCAAGGGACGCAGGAGGATGAAATGTAAAAACAAACTCAGGCAACTGTTATTTGAGATTTGCCATACTGCAGCTGCACCGGGTTTGAAGAGATATGGTTCTTCCCCCCACCCCCACCCCCAAAAAATACTTCAAAGGATGTTATAAGAACATTGATCAACTGAAAACTATGCCCAGCTTCTTAGCCATTCTGGTTGAAAATGTATACAAAGCAGACTGGGATTGCAGGTGGGAGATGACAACTTGCTTAAATATCACCATGTCTCCAATTAACCTGCAGGTTTCTGTTTATCTACTCAATGGCTTCAGTTTCAATACAAAAAAGCATTTCACATGAAAAGCCTCCATTCAGAAATTAGGAGGATGGAAAAATAGACATACAGGGCATTTCTGCATTTCCAGAATTGGAAGGGACCTTGGAAGTCTTCTAGTCCAACCCCCTGCCCAGGCAGGAAACCCTACACCACTTCAGTCAAATGGTTATCCAACATCTGCTTAAAAACTTCCAGTGTTGGAGCATTTGCAACTTCTGGAGGCAAGTTTTTCCACTGATTAATTGTTCTAACTGCCAGGAAATTTCTCGTTAGTTCTAAGTTGCTTCTCTCCTTGATTAGTCTCCATCCATTGCTGCTTGTTCTGCCCTCAGGTGCTTTGGAGAATAATTTGACTCCCTCTTTTTTATGGGAACCCCATAGATATTGGAACACTGCTATCATGTCTCCCCTAGTCCTTCTTTTCATTAAACTAGACATACCCTGTTCCTGCAGCAGTTTTTCATATGTTTTAGCCTCCAGTCCCCTAATTGCTCTTCTCTGCACTCTTTCTAGAGTCTCAACATCTTTTTTACGTTGTGGTGACCAAAACTGAATGCAGTATTGGAAGTGTGGCATTATAAAGTGGTATTAACACTTCACGTGATTTTGATTCTATCCCTCCTTTAATTCAGCCTAGAACTGTGTTGGCTTTTTTGGCAGCTGCTACTCATATTTAAATGGTTGTCCACTAGGACTCCAAGATCCCTCTCAAGTTACTACTATTGAGCAAGAAACCACATTTTTGTACCTGTGCATTTTGTTTTTCTTGCCTAAATGTAGAACCTACATTTTTTGACTTGACTTTCTTGACTTGAATTTCTTGACTTGACTTGCAGCCATCCCCATTGTAAATCTTCTCTAACTTTATGTAACTGTGCTTTTTTTCTGCAAATTCATTTCAATGGTGGCAGAGAATAGTGGTCAAAAAAGTCAAGGCACTGGCCACAGCAAAGTAATGAAAACCCTGCCCATCATCCTGAGGTGTTTTTTTTTAAAACACACTCTCTCACACACATGCATGGACACAGAGACAGATGTGAACACTGCTGAGAAACATCCTCTGAGCAGGAACTCTTGAGATGTGTTAGAACAGGGGTGTCAAACTCGCGTCATCAGGATGTATTGTGACTTTTTTCCCCTTTGCTAAACTGGGCGGGGCCAGCACGTGAAACATCCAGCCCATGGGCTGCGGGTTTGACATCCCTGTGTTAGAACTGCAGTGCTCAGAACTTTTAAATTCCAGTTGAGGCTCAATACATCAGTTGGGGGGGGGAACTGCTTTAGATATATTCATACTCATAATAGTTATACCTTTTTATGATCTGAGAGAGACAGGTAATCTGAACCACTTAAGTCAATCCCTTCTTCCAGGAAATCTTCAAGGTATTAATTATTATATGTTACCACCAGTCGATCTCAATCTCTTGTTACACCTGGTCTATCCAACTGAGAAGGTCCAAAAACCCTAGGCCAGGGATGTGAAACTCAAGGCCTCAAGGATCTCAAGGATCCGGCCCGTAGGTGCTTAGATCTGGCCCATGGGGCCTCTCTGGAAACAGTGAAGGTTCACAGCCCTCCTGGACTCCATTTTCGCTGGCAGAGCACTGCAGGAGGCTGTCGCAGCCAAAAACAGAGCCCGGGAGGGCTACACATGGCCCTCATGAGCTCCATTTTCGCTGGCAGAGTGCTAGCAAAACAAACTACTAGCAAAAGTGGTATTTGATCACACAATGTTGAACTGGCCACGCCCACCTTAGCCATGCCCACCCCGGCCCCCCAAAGTCAAATACAATCCTGAGGCTGCCATCAATGAAATCGAGTTTGACACCCCTGATCTAGGCAAAGCATTTGATAAGCCATTTTGCTCTGTGATAGGCAAAGCTAAGAGAAAATTACTCAATGGGCTTCTTGACTGAAAATGGATTTGACTAGCTCCAGGTTATACCCGGAGACCTTAATAACCATGCCATACATGGCTGCTATCTGCTTTTTAACCATAAAATTGTACATTTTAGTTTTGACAGAAACACATTTGGCTTTTTTTTAAAGTGTGGTTGCATAGTTAAAAAAAAATTGTTGACATTCAGAAAATAATACAAGATTGTTGTTAACCTTGTTAAGCTAGCTTCTAAATTCTTATAGAGGAAATTCATTTTAATTTTATAGTTTTAATCTCAGCTTTTTTTTCTTCTTCTCCACAACTCTGACTCAGAATGTATATCATACAATCTCCCAGAGATTATGGGGAACTGAGAACAGTTTTTAAAATGAATGTTAAAGCAAAATATTTTGTTAGAATATCAGAAACTGATAAATTAAATAAAAAAATAAATATCAGAAGCACTAAAATATACTCTGTTAAACAAAGGTTAACACATCAAATATAAATGTATTATTTAATAGATAGAATACTGATAGAATACGTGGTGGCGCAATGGTTAGAATACCATACTGCAGGGCTAACTCACTGCTCACTCCAGGAGTTCAATTCTGAGCAGCTCAGGATTGACTCAGTCTTCCATCCTTCCGAGGTCGGTAAAATGAGGAGCCAGATTGTTGGGGGGCGGGGCGGGGGGGGAAATATTCTGACTCTGTAAACCACTTAGAGAGGACTGTAAAGTACTATGAAGTAGTATATAAGTCTAAGTACTATTGCTATCTACAGACTGATGAGCTAGAACTAAATTAGTGTGAGTCAGTAGGATTATTATACCAGAGGATATAACAAAACATTCTTACAAATATCCTGCAATCTAAGCAAAATATATATTTAACCAATATATGGAAATTATTTACTTTGGAAACATTCTCCCATTGCCTCATACTACATTTTATCTGCAAGTTTTTTCCTAGCCTGTGTTCATATTTGGGGTCATGATCCATAGTCTGTATATGGTTGTTTAGGGCCAAATTCAAGCTTTGTTTTTCTCCCAGGATAGAATGTTCAAAAGTTGTTAAACCCTGTCCCAATAACATCATCATCATCATCATCATCATCATCATCATCATCATCATCATCATCATCATCATCTCTAGTACTATTGTTTATATCTGACATTTCAGGAATCCTTCCAAAGCAAGACAAAGAACTGTAAATAAAACAAATCTTTTTAAAACAATTTTCTCTGTTTGTTAGTCAGCACTCCATGGATACAAAAAGAAACAAAAAGAAATTGAATAATTCACAGTAGGAAAATCAAATCAAAGGAGAGGCAACAATAAATTTACTTGTGCTTTTGGTTTTGGCACTACACTTGCTAGCACAACGGCAGTCTCTTTTCTTCTTTCTAGAAATGCACTTGATGATTTTGAAAATGTGCTGTTATTGTGAGGGTAGAGTTCTCTTAGTCAGATTCTCTTAGACACACATACATATATGGGGAGGAGAGGCTCCCTATATGATTATTACAAGACATCCCTACAATATATACTTAACTAAGTTTATTTTAGGCTTAATTCAAAGATTCCTGGAAAAAAACATAGTGTGTGTGTGGGGGGGGAGAGATAGATATTTATTGTCAATCATTGTCTAAAAAATAGAGACTGTTTAAGTATCCAACATAGGTACACCAAAAAACATTCCATCTTAGCAAATTGCAACACTTTTCTGATTTGGTTTGGGCTTGGAAGCTAAGCAGGGTCAGGTCTGGTTGGTACTGTAGATGGGAGACAGACCTCCAGGGGATCCCAGGACTGTAGAGTAGACAGAATAGTTAAAAATATCCTGGAAGAAGACAATGGCAAACCGTTTCTGTATTGTTACTGAAAAAAATACATGGGTGCCTCCATGAAATTCCCAGGTCTAAGCCTGAAGAAGACTTGCAGGCCATGTTAATAGGTTATGGTTTGCCTTTTAGCTGGTGGTTTTAGGCAATGGATGAGGCACCATCAGCAATAAAAAAAATGTTACTTATATGTAAATATAAAATTCCTATTTAACTGTAAACCTAAACATGCATATATTCAATACTGTAGGAAAGGGTTACTGAGATGCCTTGTTCCAGATCAGCAACAGAAACTACCAAAATAATAATTAAAAAAAATACTTGAATATACCTTACATCTTGTGATAATACCTTTATCACCATCAAACAATAACACCTGCCTATCCCAGATCCTTCAGAAGGACTCAATAGGTGGTTAAAAATGCCAAATTCAATCTAAACATCTGGCTGACTGTGCGACCAACCAGAATAATCTTTCTAAATCAACAAAGTAGCAACAATGGCACATTGGAATACCATTTGCTGGAAACAAAAACTGGCAGGACCACAAAATGGACAAAGTAATAGAAAATGAAGAAGCTAAATTGCTCTGGGACCTTAGAATTCAGACAAGCAACTACCACATAACATCCCAGACTTAACAGTTGTTAATAAGAAAGATCAATCAAAGTCTGGATAATGGATGTTGCAGTACCTCGAAACAGCAGAATAGAACTGGAGATCATTGTCGTCGTCATCATCATCATCTTATTGTTATTTACAGGAAAATAAAAACAAAATGTTCCAGGCAGGCCACAAAAAATGTTGATGTTCTTATTTGTGGTAGACCATAAGAATGCAATGCAAGACTAAAAATGCACAGTCACATTTGCCAGTCTGTTCAGATAAATGAGAATGTTAGATTTGAAGTAGCTCCACACAAAAACAGATAGATAGATGATAGATGATAGATAGATAGATAGATAGATAGATAGATAGATAGATAGATAGATAGATAGATAGATAGATAGATAGGGAGGAAGGAAGGAAGGAAGGAAGGAAGGAAGGAAGGAAGGAAGGAAGGATTCAATTGCAATTCTTTAGTTATGTTTACCTATGGAAAATAGCCCTTTTACAAAGCAAAATTTACTCCACTTATTTCAACTTTCTGCGGCTTCTGGAAAAAGCTGCTGAGATGGCAATTCTCCACTCTTTTATACCCCCCACCCCACCCATTTGTCATTCCTTCCCTCCCTCCCTCCCTCTCTCTCTCTCTCTCTCTCTCTCTCTTTCTCTCTCTCTCTCCTCCCACCCACCCATTCAACTACATCTTGATTTTTAAAAAAGCAAAACAAAGCAAAAAGGAGCCTGGATAGCTCTGTAGACAAAGCACTGTAGTTTAACACCAGCTGTCTGCAATTAAAGTAAGTTCGAATCTTGCCAGGCTCAAGGTTGACTCAGCCTTCCATCCTTTCTAAGGTAGATAAATTGAGGACCCAGTTTGTGGGGGCAATAAGCTGACTTTGTATAAAATATACAAAAGTATGAAGGCTATTGCTTAACGCACTGTAAGCCGCCCTGAGTCTCTGGAGAAGGGCGGCATATAAATCAAATTAAAAATTAAAAATAAATAAATAAATAAAAATCTTTCTACCTCTAGCACATGTCCAAGAGCCATGCCTCACTTGTGGATATGGACTGTGTTTGGCATGAATCTAACATCCAATGTGAATGTCAGAATTTGGAGCTGCACATTCACAACAGCCTCAGGCTGCATCAGTACCCTATTGAGTTGCAACATTCAGGCATCAGAGAGAAATAGATAATAAGATAATGACTTTGATTATAAGCATTTCTGAATAAAACCAGTATAGCAGTTCCATTTTGCTTGAGGTTTTTTTTATATTTTTCTGTTGGTTGATTTTAGAGTTTTAATTGCAAATACTTTTTGGAATGGAACATTGCTCACCTGGAAAATACCTGGCTGCAGCATCATGCCCTTGGGCAGGCAGCTATTTAAATTGCCCACAATTCCCCAAAAGGTACACTCAATGCAATGCATCCCTAGCAACTCCCAAAGAAGCTGGATGCTGACATGAGGATGAAATATGTCAAGAATTCTTTCTTGTTGGCTGGTAGAAATGCCACAATTTTCAGCTTTTATTTAGCGCTGGCCAGGTAATGATGGTACCTTGGTTAGAAAATAGTATTGGCATTTAATTTACAAACAGTGCATTTTTATTTATGTACTTATTTGTTTGCTTGCTTATTGTGACATTTATTGATTATGAAAATTATTTGCTGCCCATCTCATATCTAACAATTCTATTGCATATAGTAAATGTCTCTTTTTCTCACTGCAGTAAAAAACTTTAGTGATTTTACCAGCATAATATTCTCTTATTTTACCTTCCCTCCCACCTCCCACCTCCAAAAAAATTTCATCTTTAAGTTTAGGTTGCTCAACATTTGAGATTGGGATATCACCAAGTTAATGTACACCTGTTTAGCTAGCCTTTTGCAAGAGCTGGAGTAGTTGTGAAAGAGTCACATTTTCCTAGAGATAAAATATTACTGTTAGAAGGCTGGGAAAATTTAGTATCTTCACCACAGGAATGCAGCCACAAGGGAAGTTGCCTGGACAGCTAAGAATAAATGGAAATGGCTTGGATCCAAAGAACCACACAGCTAGTTCCATGTGCTCCAGAGAATTTCAGCTCCCCAACAGCATGCATGGAGAAGTGCCTGGAGAGCCGTTTCTTATATTGCAGGAGAATCTCCAAAGGAGAACGACTTTTTTAAAAAAACTCTTCTCGCTACCATACTGGATATTTCCAAACCATTGGGTGCACCTAAGTAGAACTTTGGATCGCAGCCAAAACTTTGCATATATCATTTTACAAATGGAATGTCTGGAAACAGCCTGGAACACAGATGTTTCAATCGTAAGATTTGTATCTGGTTACAAAACTGGTGGCAGATTTGCTTGTGCTCTCCACTGCAAGCTGTAAGCACTTCCTCGTCCTTCTTCATACTGTATCCAAGGTGCCCTCTCATTCCTAAACATTTTATTTGCCTAAAACAGGGTGGTTTCTGTTTTCATCTCATGCTTAGGGTTTTTAAGAGTTGCTTCATAGTATTTCTTAGCTTGATGGAACAATGAAAGAAGGCGGGATCCCTTGTTGTTGTTGCTTCTGCAATACATTTTTTCACTGCTCTGTACTTCCCTGGCTGCAAAGATGTTTTTGTCTGAAAAATACAATGTACAATGAGTGGAATTCCCCTATAATATCTTCCTTTTCTTTCCCCCTTTCTTTTTCCTTCCCCTAATTTCTAATTTTTATTTTCCTTTATAGAATACATAAGGATGAAAGAAAAGAAAATGGTGTTCACTCCTTGGCCGTCTCATCAATCATGGAGAAGAAAAGTGGGTTCATTTTACCCTCCCATAAGAATTACCAAAATAAATACCCCTGAAAATAATAATCAATACTTTCATAACTGAATAATAATTTCATCATAATAATAGATTTTGTTCCCAGACCAGGTACCCACTCCGCTGCCTTTTCCTCAGAAAGAACAAAGCTCTCTAACTAAAGAATTGAAACAAAGAATAACTGAACTTCTAGAATAGCACAAAACAATAGAATAATGTTGCCTGCATTGAAATTGTTCGAAAGAGCAGCTAGCACAAATATTAACAGATGACAATATTGTAATATCAAATATAAGCACCAGCTCACTGCCAAAAACAAACCAACCAATGTACAGCATGGCTGAAGTAATAAACTCAGGTACAAAATCAACAGAAAAGAAAAAAACAGTGCGTCATTAAATTGGAAGATGAGGCTGGAAAATAAGAGCAGCATGCTAAGATCAAATGTAAGCAAGTTAGAACAGAGGAAAGCAAAGAAGCTATGGAACAAGAAGACCAACCTAATCACGAAATATCACCTGGAAACAAGGAAGATTAAGGAAGTGCTGAAATTAATAAAGCAGCAAATAACAGCTACCGCCAAGACCAGCAAACACACAACTTGAATTGCACGCTAGAGGCAGAATTTCCAATATCAATTGAATCAGAAATATTTCTACCAATCCATCAACAGCAAGACTGCAGTGAACCAGTCAGCACCTGACAAAGAAAAAAACAGTGGAGTTCTGGACCCAGCTGTGAGATGACCCAAAGAAATATAACAAAAACAAAAGCGTGGGATAAAGGAGGTAGACAAGAGGAAGCCGAAATGAAAGAAATTGTAATAACAGCAGAAATGGTGGAGAAAGGGGCAAGGAAGATCAAGAACTGGTCAATATCAGATGAAGATGAATTACATGGTTTTTGCTTGAAACATCTGACTTGTCTAGACCCACTCATTGCACCACACTAATAGAAGGTGAAATTGAAGCTTGGTTAGCATTTGGCAAAACCTACCTGATAATGAAAGATCCAACAGGGGCAGCACCAGACAGCTATAGACCAATTACCTGCTATTCAACAACTTCCAAATTGCCAACTGGTGTGGGAGCTGATGCATTGTAACAGCATCTAGTTGAAAACCAGCTCTTTCTACCTGAGTAGAAAGGAAACTGCCCAAACAGTAGACCAGGGTGTCAAACTTGCATTGTTATGGGGACATCACATGACGTATCAGGACATTTTCCCCCTTGGCTAAATTGGGCATGGGTGTGGCCAGCACATGACGCATCGGGCCCATGGGCCGCGAGTTTGACAGCCATGCTGTAGACGAACAAACGAACAGCTCCTAATTGACAAGATGATTTGGGAAAACTGCAAGAGTAGGAACGAAAGAATACCAACTTGTCTTCCTTGGACAAGTAGCTTGGATTGATTACAAGAAGGCATTTGACTCCCTGCCACATGATTGGATAATCAAGTGTGTAGAAATAACAGGAGTCAGTGGAAACACGACAAGCTTTGTCCAAACATCAATGGCACAATGGAAGACACAGTTGCTGTGGCTGATCAAATGAAAAGTGGAAATGTGATATGGCAAGGAAAAGTATTACATGATAAGTACACTAAGAAAAAGCATACGAAGCAGATAACAAGACCTGGCAATGGCTACGAGCAGGAAAGTTGAGGAAAGAAGCAGAGGGGCTAATTCTAGCTGGAGAAGACCAAACCTTAAGAACAAATACATACAAAGCCAGAATAGAGAAGAAAAGCGACAGACTACAAATGCCACCTCTGCAAAGAAGCGGAAGGAACAGTAGACTGCTTAGTTTAGCTGTTGCAAGAAGATCTCAAGGACTGACCACAAACAATCACAAATCAAAATAGCAACAATGATACATTGGAACATTTGCAAAAAATAGCATTTGCATGAGAGCAAGAACTGGTGGGACCAAAACAAACAAACAAACAAAGTAATAGAAAATGAAGAAGTTACAGTGCTCTAGAATTTTAGAATTCAAACAGACAAGCACCTGCCACAATAACAGCCCATTATTAACAACTGTTGATAAGAAAGACAAAAAAAAAAAGTCTCGATAGTGGTATCTGGAGACAGCAGAAGAGAAGAGAAAGAACTGGAGAAGATCACAAAATATAAAGACCTGCAAAGCAAAGTAGCATGTCTGTGGCAAAATAAAGATCGTACCAGTGGTGAAATCTAAAATTTGTTACTACCGGTTCTGTGGGCGTGGCTTGGTGGTGGTGAGGTAATGTGACTGGGTGGGCGTAGTCATTTTTTTTTTTTTTTTACTTTTAAAACCATTTTTTCTAC